CAATTTCCTTTAATTGGAAAACAGCTCTTCCAAGGAAGACTCAAAATGAGACGTGTCTATTAAATTTATGACACACTCCGGGAGACTATTTAATTGTTCAATTGTTTGGGCGAAAAAAGAGTATTTAAAGACGCTATTCTACTACAATAAGGTTGGACCGTTTTATCTTTTTCGTTTCATTCATCGTTCCTCACGTAAACTGTGACAATACGGAGTGCGACTGCAACCTGACCGCGTTTCAAGACAGCGGCATTTATACGATCGCCCCAATGGCTGTACTATGTTAGACTGCGCGACGGACGTACTGTTTCAAAATGCAGGGGAGGCATCTCGACACAATCGTATAGCATGAAATACTGTAGAAAGAGGCAGTTTGAGAGATTGGAGCTGCCTTATATACATATCGGCATATCGCAGGTGCCCGCGCAGTACCCAGTGTCCACACTTTTGGAGCGCGATCATCCGACCATCACGTCCATGCAAGGTTGCGTCCATTTTATGATGCCGATGGCGGTGCGCGGTTTTTGCAATGATTCCCTTGCTTGACTTCGTAAAAGCATCACGATTTTTTCTTTTTAATTAAGGTTTTTTAAATTTTTTTTCAGGCAGTTATTAGCAATAAAATATGTGTTTATATTCATTGTACTTTTATTCGGAAGACTGATGCGAGGTCATCGAGATATTATAGTAACTCCGTGTGCGATATCAGATTCAGTTTCGTTTGGAGTGCCCTGGCGCTACCCTGGTGCACCGGATCTCATGTCATAGCAACCCGTCGTAACGCTTCGGCGTCTCGTACCTACTCGTACCGATCGTTTAGTCGTAAAGGCTCTTCTATAGGGACTTTTAGCAAACCGTTGTCGTGTTCCGGGTACCTCACTTCCGGAGTCCTTGAAGCAAGTGCTCGGACGGAGTGATACCGTGATTTTCCAAGGCTTCGGTAGTGCGATACGCGGAACACGGTAACGGTTCGCTAAAAGTCCACAATGTCGAGCGCAGCGTTGCCCATCACGCGCGCGTTTCAGTGGCCTTTGAGCACGATATTTAAGATCTGTGATTAATTACCATCTCTGCGCTGCGATAGCGCCCGCGCTGCGTCAAACTCTGTTTGAACCTTTATGTAGCACTCGACGCAAATGCGTGAAACGGCGCCCTTAAAGGAATGGATTAGCCGCTACAGATACTGATACTTTGCAAAGTGAAGAAATCGTAAACTGATGGCAGTAGGGATGAACGCAGTGTCTACGAGGAGGCTCACCGCCTGGCCCGTGGCCAGTACTGCCTGGCCAGTTCTCTGTAGAGGAGAACTGGACACGCGGTACTGGCCACGGGCCTGACGGTCCGTAAAAAAGCAATCGATTAAGAGAAAAAAAAAAGAATCGTCTAGAATGGGGAACCTGGGTCAAGATGCCTGGATCCAGACATGAAAAATAAACCTAGCTGAGAAGCCCCTCCCCTGCTAGGATCACCACCCATAGGATCACCACCCATGCATCAACTCATAGTAGCCATGACTGGGTCTTTGAACGTCAAGTTTAGTGAAAAAGCCCAAGGTTTTTAGTGAGATATCAATTTTCTTTATTAGTGCATTTGCGCACCCTCGAATACACAAGGGTGTCTTGCAGTGCACCCTTGCCGGCATCCACGTGTAACACAGGGCTACCGCAACGACAGACGGCAGTCCAAGTTCACGTTGCAAAAATAGTTCTCCCAGACTCTCTGATTTTGAACTTCCAACTTGTCGCTCTTAAAATTACATTAATTCCCGAATCCACTTACCTCTTCAGATTGGCCGTTATGAGAAATATTGGTTATTATAGGAGATTTTCGTTGCTAGACTTGACAAAGGGCGTCCACTCTAATATTGACGCGCGCGTCATATTTTCATCGCCTAGGCGTACTAATGTCAAACCCTTAATGTGACTCGCTGAATCGTGAATCTTGTGACTCGTCTCGCTAAGAGCATCTTTGTATACGCACATTGTACTTCACAGTATTGCGCATACCGCGTGGTCTAATGGCTTAAAGACACTTTAAGGAAGCCTGACATTTTTTTTTCTTAGAATATTTAAGAAAACACTGGCCTGAATCAAAAGTTATGAATAAATAAGCTTAGTTTCCTATTGACAGAGAGGGAGGGTTTTCCCTCTGAAAGAAAAGCTTTCTTGTTGGCTATTTGAGCTAAACAAAGTCGCGGCAGGAGGGAAATCCGTCTGACCTTGCTTTTAAATATTGTTTTGTTCAAATGCCCCCGAAACTCACAAAAACATTTTTTTTTCAGGAGCACAAAAAAGGTTTACTTTTTTTTTCTCTGCCCATAGAAAAAATTAGCGTCTTTATTTCTAGATTTTTGATGAAGGCAAGCCTTTCTTTTATAATTCACAAAAGACATGCTCGCCACTTAGTAGCATCTTCATGACGAATTACAGCACCATAGAACGCCAAACATATTTTGACGATTTAAAAAAAAATATGTTTGATCCATTGGGCTTACGCGATAGATAACATGTAAAAAATAAGCGTCTTGATTTTACTTATTAGTAAGCCTGTGCCACGTGTTTTCAGTAAAATTTGTATTTTTTTGTTTCTTTTTGCGTGTGTGTGCGTTTCTTTTTTTCCGGATCGATCTAAATTGTTTATGTAAAATTCACCAGAAGAACCGGCACTCGCACGTGGAGAGCTAACATTTTCATCATGCAGTTTTATAAAGTGCCTTTCCGCAAATGTTTGGCTAGTTGGTTAAACAAAAAGACAAATTAGTCGTTTATACAACAAGAGTAGTCTGCGAGAACATAGCGACATCGCTACCCACTATAGATGACCGGGTTACTTTTTCCGTGTTACTTCTTCGTCCGGTCCTTCGTCTTTTGCGCTGTTTTGAGTCCCGAAGTATGCCGTACCAACTCGCTCAGGCCTCAACTTGAGCAATTTAGCCAGTGAGTACTACTGCTAGCCTGGGATCTTTAAGTGCAGCACCAGTAGTGATACACGACCGCACGCCAGTACGATGCTCATCTAGATCAAAACGGGCAAGGGGTGAGGATTGAACCCGGGATTTCTGGGTTCTGCAGCGCTAGCTTTCGCTCCACGTGCTCCGAGCTGGTGTGCGCTTGCCCACTCGGCCACCGATCCTCTGCTAGTTGGTCACAGGTGTCAGCTAGCTTTGCAAGGTAGACAGTATTTGCGAAAGACAACAAATTTGGAAGTTTGCATGATGCGCGTTGCCTCGATTCAAGGAAAGTAGCAACAAAAATAATCGTAATCATCCTCATCAACTAAACCGACTGGCGATTATTTCCCTTGCCCTGTGATAATTGCAGCGGTTTTAGGAGAAAATAAATTAGTGTAGCAAATAAAAAGTGTCGAAACAGTTTAAGGGTAGGTGGCGCAAGCTACCGCCTGGTAAAAAGAGATGCAGATTGTATTTGTTTACTTATCCACTCTTACATAAAAGATATCACGGTTAGTTTGAAAAGTCGTGCTAACATTTTGTAAATTAGGTTTTTTATTTAAAAAAAAAGTAATTAGACAGAGTACATTTTTGAAGAAACTGTGCCCCGTGTCAGCCTAAAGTTCCGTTGGTCTAAAGGTTAAAAAGTAGAACGCTGGAGTCTGTCACGTGGCAAAAATAACCCACCGAGAGTTGCTAGCTGTCACCTAGGAACCTAGAATCGATTGAGCGAACACAATTTATTTTCCTTCGACACGCATATGGGTTTGGTTGGGTGTTTGTGACTTGGGATGTTCTGATACCGCTGATAGTGATAAGATTTCCTAACTGTGGCAAATGTACTGCGTGATACGTGTGATAGTACACTCTGGGTGTGAACTATGCTGTGCTTCGTCGCCGTTCGTCCTTATTGCAAGAGAACTTCTGTTCGGACCACAGAAGCACAAAGTTACAAAAACCGCAGTGATAGCGGTGGTACCAGAGGAGTGCAACCTCGTATACCGCCAATGGAACGCGAATTGGAAAACCCTGCAGTCCGCAGCGCCACATGAATCCCCTGGTATCTGGTGGCTGTACTAAAATCAACATGGCGGCACAGCGAAACCGAAACTGCATGGCAGCGCCATTGTGTTTGGATGGATGGGCGGTAGCTTGCGCCACCTAGATTTAAATATATATATACCCGAAGGAAAAATTCATTTATGTAACCCTGTTTGGCAGTCAATGTTTTCTAGTGGACCGCTGACTGTGCCTGACTGTACATCAAGCATGTCTGATTGGCCAACAAGTTACTCTGACCGACAGTCAAACACCAGTCAGACTCCACTTGTCGGCTTTCTGATGGATTCCTGGTGGCAGTCGGCCGCCGCGAAATGCTATCAAGATGTCTTGGTGACGATTCTGATTGTACATCGATTGTCTCTGACTGTACGTCAAAGAGCTTTGACGTCCAGACAGACGTACGGTCAAAGGACGCAAAGTTCGTTCGGATACCACTATTTCGTCAAATCTATGAATACGAAAAATAATCTATGCACAAGAAAACGATTTCGGGACGTGAGCCCATAAAACCGCTGATGTTAGAGATATGACACGCAGCCGACCGACAATCTTGATCAGAAGCCCGCCTAAACGCCGAACACGCCACTTCGCTTCGCCTATAGAGGCTTCGCCGAGCTTTCAAGAACGATCGCTCTCGACTCGTTTTGTTTGCCCGCTTGCTCCAAACTGTCGATCGTGCCCGGGCTCTACAATGTCTTATGTTTTAGTAGAATTTCTACTCGACAAGACCCAGCCTGTTGTGAGTTCCGACGATGTAAGGGACTTAAGCGGTGTAGTTGAAGACGACAAGGTGTACCAGGTCTACTGGGCCGGAGACGCGCGAACAAAATGATCGTTCTACGACGCGAAAGTACTCTACATGGCAGGTGAGTAGAACTGAAGTACGGCGAGTGATGTACGATTGCTTTGCATAACATGCTGAAGGCTTAACTGCATTTGCAGCCGAAGCATCTCGTATAAAACGAATGCTCAAATCGAGTTTCCAAAGCGATGGCATAGCATATCCCTCACCAGTGTCTTGGTCACAAGTGACTGCACAGAGCCCCGAAGTCTCTTCGGGTTTCTGAAGGAGGTCAAGGACGCCACATTGTTTCTACAAACACGTTTTTCGATGGACTACCTGGGCACTGTCACGAAAAAGAAGCTAGCCCGCGACCTGGTTGAGTTACTTTTCCCCGCACCCATGTATCGTTCTCTTTACAATCAGTGTCCTGGACAAGATGTTCTTTGCCGCGTAAAGAAAATGTGTATCCCGCCTGTCGTTAAGTCCTTCTTTTTTAAACTACATAGTGAAACATTGCCTGTTAAGTCTTGGCTCCAGAAAAAAGGAATTTTCGTACCATGGTCTGTCGATTGCTTGCTGTGCAAAAAACCCGAGACTATTGAGCACGTCTTCATTGATTGTTGGGACGCGCTGTTTTTTTGGGATGTTCTCCAAAGAACACTGAAAAAAGACCTATGTATCACGAGAGAAACGATTCGATTTCTACCAGTCGATGCATGCGAAGCGGTTCCTTATGATATGTTCATTGTACTCGGTTTATTGAGCATCTGGAAAACTCGCATGGAATTCCGGCATGCAGACCCTCATATTAAACCTGTGTATAAGCACTTTATTGATGTTGTTACCCAAGTACAATCTGTGTACTGTCGGTCTGCAGACGCTGCGCCAGACTGGGCAAATCTGTTTGATGCAATCAAAAATATGAAAGAATTTTAGTGGCCCACAAGCGCCTGGGTGATGTGTGTTTATTTTGACATCGCATTCTGTGCTACACTTGTGTTCAATAAAGAAAAAAAAAAAGATGGCATAGCATAGGGGTTAAGGTGTCTGATTTGTACGCAAGTGGTCGCGGGTTTGATCCGCGGTGGTCCTGCTTTCTTTTTCTTTTTTTTTCTCGAACATTTTGTTTTATCGAGGCATTTGGCAATATTTATGAGTGCGTATAGCTTTACTCTTATATAAATGCTGCCCTTGTTGATGAAATTCCCTTGGCAGTGGCAGTCAGACGTCATCTGATGGACCATCAGATGACGTCTAATGGTCCATCACGTTCCACCAAGGCTCCTGACTGGCAGTCAGTGTCCCAAATTACGTATCTTGATGGAATTTTTGATATAGTATATATATATATATATATATATGCATTGTAGCTCTTTTTTTCTGGTCCCGATTTGCGTGTTGTTTTGCTAGACTTCTGCTGCTTTGCAGCTGGTTTTCGCATTTCAATGCTGGTTAATGTGCGTTGAAACGCAACAAACCAGCACTGAACAGCGAGACCAGCAGGAAAGCAGCTGAAACCTAGCAAAGCAACGAAAGCGACACATACACGAAAAAATATGGAATGCTTGTCCTTTTGCGTTCATTTTTATTCAACAGACAGTAGAAAATTCAGACGAAATTTCTCAATATTTTGCGCACCAGAATCAAAGAAATGCACAACAAGACAGGATAAACCGTTAAGGTTACGTTCGACGGAGGTGACGACATCCGTCCTTGCAAAAACATTTCACTAAATTTACATAAATTCTCTTTAGGTTCGTGATGCCTTTCGAGCTTCTTGGCGTATTGTCACAAGCCTTGCGCCTTCCAGCCACAGGCGTGGAGCCTAGAAATTAAAGTTGAATTGCTTGATTGGCCATTACGTGCCTGATATGGTCATATGAAAACATCGAGCATATTCTGCGCCTCCTTTCAAAAAACGGTACTTGGAGTTCAACACTGCGACACTAAATACTCGTGTCTTCACTATTAGTTTAGTTTTTAATATTATCACTTAAATTTAGGAGTGCGTCACTGCTAAACGAAACGGGAAATCAGTGCGGATCGGTCCATCGGGGAGGCATGCGTATTAGAGAAGCTCGTTTTAGCGAACGCTGTTTTACCGAACCCGGTTGATGGAATGCCTTTATAGAGAACCCAGTTTAGAAAAAATGGCGATGAGCCTCCTTTTAGCGAATTCGGCCGCCGCGAAGCGGCGTGTGTGGGTAAATCAGGTGTGTTAACATTTTTGTAATGAGCCACCGCAGACTGCCGCCGCGAAGCGGCGGGTGTCTGCGGTGGTTCATAACTAGTGATACACGCGAGAGGTAGGAAAGCCTTTGTTTTTATAAAGAGTCTCTTTTTCGATAAACGGCGTTTCTCTAAACTGAGGCTTCGGTTTCTTTAAACCGTGCTTCGATAAAGTGTGCCCATTTTCTAAAACGCGCTTCGATGAAATGGCATTTGATCAACCGTAGTAAACCCGCTCCATCGCTCATCCTCAGTTAATCGAAAAATGTTTAAGCTTATTTTTTCCTCTCGCGAACAGACGCGTGAATCGCTGACAACAATGCCAAATAAACAACTCACAGCAAAAAGTTTACCATCTTTTGAAGTGAGCGTATGTGCTCGATCTTGATATTACATAGAAGTCTCCAGTTATTTGACATTGACATATTTCTCGCGGCGAGTGAAGAGCAATCCTAAACAATGATAGGATTTGGCTTTGTGATTTGAAACCATCGCAGCTATCGGCAAAATTAAACAATTAATGCTCACTACCACTGCGACAGTTAGGTTTTGTTGCGAACATTTAATTAGAAACTTAAGCAAGAGAAGACCAAAAGAGCGTACCGCACGTCCATTGGAACTCGAAACCATTGGTGTCCCGGATTTCGGCAGTAACTGTTTCCCCACTTGACACAGCAGGTGGTGCGGTGATGACGAAAACCCATGCTTGACCACATTACGAAAACAGCGAGTTTCCACAAAAAGAAGAACAGAAAGCCGCGCGCGCACGAACGCGGCACGAATCCCGTGCCGCGACGTACTCCCAGAAGCGAAAGAGCTCGCGGGCTCGCATCTCTCGCGCGTTCTGACGGTCCACCAACTTCCCTGCGGCGGATTTTCAAAACCTGGCCCTTCCAGATATGCCGCGGAGCGGCGTGCTCTGATTGGCCAGATTACCGCCGCACAAAATATTGACGGCGACGCACATGCGGCGCCGGTCGCCGGCAGGAGCGTCTGCTACACTCCGGCGAATACTTTGGTGCCGTGGTGACTTGGTGGACGCGTTGTTGTGTAGGTTACGCGTTGTTTCATCTGCCAGTGGATATCCATTGAGTTATTCCGCATATCACGCGCATAAAAGTCGGTAGCAGAAGTTTCGAGCATGCCGATGTCCACAGTTCGACTGCTCCAACCTCGGCGATTCTCTACCCAAGCTGGAATGAAGTAGGCCTCGCTGCTCTGTTCCGTAATTGAAACCGTGTAGACGTGGAGTGCTTGCAGTGCTAATGCGCAGTGCTTTTAAACAGTAATTCAAAAAGTGAGAACCATAGCCCTGCACAGCGTGTGTGGCTGGTGTCTACGGTTTCCGTGTGGCTCTTGTCAAAGTAAGCCTTGTCGCCTTCCTACGCGCCCGCGTAGCGCCCGCAATGCTGTCAATCGTACTGCTCAATTAATTCGCTGTTTTTCTTGCTCTGAAACGCTATGCAGATTTTATATCCACTTCAATGCTTCACAGCTGAATGAACATTTGTTTGTCGCTGAACAAGATTGCCATGAACGAATTTACTTCCGCGGTTTTACGCCCCGCAAGTGTTTACTTTTTCTGCCGTATTTTCACGTTTTATTGCGCAGACTGTTTTGTTTCAAGCTGTTTGTTTCTTATGCCTATCATTATTTCTCGTCGTGTTACTTCGATCAGCACACTGGAGGTGAGCTAGGACTGCTCTAATATGTCTCTTTAACCCCAAGGAGCAGAAAATGAAATACGACATAAAAACCCATGCAGAACTTGATTTCAAAATGTAGGGACCTTGTCCTGGTGCCTTTTTGTTCACTGCTCCCTTCTCTGCACTTGATACATAAGTATGTGACCTGTTTAGTTGCCTGAAATGTCATCTGCCCTTTCAGCCTGTGGAGGTCCATGGGAATTAGAAAGGAAGGATTAAAGCCATCGTCAGAATTACTTGTGCATTAAATCCTGTTGCCCACGGGACATTCTTGTGGGAATCTGAAGTCCATGCTATTGATAGCTTCTTCATGCAAGTGATAGACTCCAGCTACAACCTAGTTTTGCCATCTTTGTTTCGGTCCCATCAATTTCCAGCTTCTGATGTCATCACTGTGTAATGCTGAAGTTCTGGAGGTCCCATAAATTACAGGCAGATCCAGACAATCCAGGACACTGAGCACAACGAATGCAATGCTGCTGGTTCTTACGACCAGCGACTTATACGCACACACCCCTAACATACCCCACGCCGAGTTTCTAATAACCGCGTCCCACTAGAGCAACAGCGACAGACGACAATGAGCGACATACGACACTGACAGACAGCCTGTTTGTCGGAGTCCGCTGTCCCACCTGGCGAACACGATGCAGCACAAGGGGACAAGGAAACTTGTTTCCTAGTGGGACTGGAGTTGTCAACAAAACACCTCAAAATGCAGAGACAAACAGAGTATAGCGACGCGGTTTTCGTGTTTTTCTCTTTGGGCGTAAAATGCACCGACAAACACGGTGAAAGTGGAGACGATTACTTTATTTCTTTTTTAAAGTTTCTGCTCGCCTTCATTTGCCTTTGGCGACTTTCTGAAAACAGTCGTGACAATCGACACTCAACTTTTTCCAAACTAGAATTTCTGAATTGTTCCTCTTTTGGGTCGTTCGAAGCATTCGAGGTGAGTGCCACGGAATTTCACGTCGATTTGAGGACGTTTTTAACTTCATATCCGAATGACCGAGGGCAGCGTTTTATGGGGGACAATACGGTGGTAGTTTTATGGGGTACAATTAAAGAACGGATGACAGGCCTTTCAATTTGCCGGAATGGCTCACCACAGAACTGTCGGAGCGTCGTGTCCTACTTTGTGGTGAGCGGTCTTACTTTGGTCTGTCTTCGCACATAGATGAATCAATCCTGATGCAGGGGCGTAGACTTCGGCATCTTGAAGCACCAGCTCGCGCACCAAGTTTTCGTGAGCAAAACCAGCCACAGCAAATACCCTTTCACAACACGACATCTAGCAAGCAAGCCGCGCCCGCGACCGCTACGAGCAATCCAGGAATCGGAACTGCGGGAGCGCGAACGATCAGTGGCCGCCAAGGACTGAGTCACGGGAGGAATGGGAGGAACGGTAGAAGGAGGGTGGGGAAGACAGCAACAGAAGGCACAAGCGGGCGAGAAAATTAATGGTGAAAATAATCCCTGGAGAAGGGGAACAAGAGGGACAGAGGACAAACACAAATCTCCAAACACAGCTAGGTGACTGGTGAGCGACCGAAAAATTCCGCCTGGTCCGGGTATCGAACCCGGAACCTCTCCATTACAAGTGGAGCGCTCTACCAACTGAGCTAACCAGGGGTTAGACGTCAGTAGAGCAAACGGGTTTTATCAGCCGCCACCAGTCGAACACCAACAAGGGTGAAGCTTGCAATTTAAAGTTATAATTATAATGCAGTTAAATGCAAAGGTGCAAGCGAGCTGGACAATAATGATGAAAATAATCCCTGGAGAAGGGGAACAAGAGGGACAGAGGGCAAACACAAATCTCCAAACACAGCTAGGTGACCCGGACCGATACCCGGACCAGGCGGATTTTTTCGGTCGCTCACCAGTCACCTAGCTGTGTTTGGAGATTTGTGTTTGTCCTCTGTCCCTCTTGTTCCCCTTCTCCAGGGATTATTTTCATCATTATTGTCCAGCTCGCTTGCACCTTTGCATTTAACTGCATTATAATTAAAAAGAGAAAATTAAGTTAGTCCCCAAGTGATGTTCCTCGGTGGTACTGCTTGCTGCGCTTCAAGTTCAACGACAGACAAGAACTCGTCTGTCGTCGATGGTGTTTTGGCGTTTGTCGCGGGTATTGGTCGTTGCAGTGGAACAGCATCAGCAACAGAAAAACTTTGTGGTGTTGCCGGACAAAAATCGGTGTTTGTCGCTCTAGTGCAGGGGTGGCCAGGCTGACCCGGCCTAAGAGCCACAGACTAAACTACGAAACTTTCAAGAGCCGTGGGGGGGGGGGGACTTTTGTCTAGAGCAATTAACGAAACTCGAACTACTTTCAATCTATCCGAGTCAAAAGCAGTACAACTGTACGCAAGGTAGCAGTAGCACAAGACTACCAAACTGCAACCTCTCTTTCGACTTAAAACGCGTTCCATTTCTTTTTTTTGGGGAAGTGCTCGTGGTGATCGGGAGGGAGGCGGGCGAGAGGGAGGAGAGGGGGGGAACCGCGAGCTGCACTTTAACACGCGAAGTCGCGAGCCGCAGCTTGGCCACCCCTGCTCTAGTGGGACGACGCTATAAGAATTTTCTACTCAGAGTGCGCAAATATGTGCTATATATCCCTCGGGAGGCCTTTCCCAGAATTAGCAATACCTTCCCAGATTGACAATCATGGATGAACGCCTGGTCTCAATCCTGGCAGTGTCACAGCAATGGAAGGTGGGCACCGCAGATGCCTGTTCTGCTGCGACTCACTAGCAAGTCAGTCGAGAGAGATTCAAGGAGCTCCAAGTTGAAACATTGCGACCAAAGCAACATTTCCCCCCCCCCCTCTGCTTGGTCTCTTTGCTTGAATTTCTTGAACGAGCCACACCGGGATCAAGACAATCTGCACCAGTACATGGCAGCTCCTATGACCCATCCATCTCAACCGCCATTCTCCAGCAGTTCTTTTAGGCACAGTCTTCAGAAGGTAATCAAAAGAGCATGCACACGCTACGTAAGAGGTCCAGGTGCAGTTCAAGGTCTTGCATCCAAGAAATATTTCTAGAGACATTCACACCATATGTTGATGAATATCAGTGTTGCAGGCAATCATCTGCCAAGAAACCACACTTGATCATGCAGACGCTTGCTTCCCAGAGGTCGATTGCGTAGAACCGGATGGTACAACTTGATCCTGCCCATCAACCAGGCCTTTGGCACGTTCCCTCTACTGTGTAGCATTGCAGATGCTTGAAGTAGACTGTAGACTGCCTGCCTGATGGGAAAAGAAAGACCAAGCAGTCAGTCCAAGCCACTCTTAAACCAATGTGCAGAAAAGGAAATTCAAACATGGAGATATGAAACATGCTGTAGTCAAGACGGATTGTAGGTCGCTATGCTTGTTCTGGGTGTGTCCTGATCAATCCATTAAGTGGCAGTGGGAGACTCGCCCTTTTAAAGGGCCCCTGAAAAAAAGTGTTTTTTTTAACAATCTATAGTCGGTGACAGGTCAAGAACGAAGTGGAAGCTCGACCCACATCTTTCCACTTTAGCAGTGCGAACTCTGGAGAGGAGGCGACCTCCTCTCCACTATTTGCCCCGCTGAAGTGGAAAGGGGTGGGAGGAGATTCCACTTTGTTCTTGACCTGTCACCAACTATATTTAGGACACGCGTGTCAAAAACAAATTTACATGAGGAAAAGTTTTTTAAAGCAATATTGACCGCGCAAGACGCGATTTAGTCGGCAGTCACGTCCCTTACCTCCAGAGGTCGGCATTTTAGGTCGCCCTCACTCACCCTCACCCTCAAAGCTACACTCACGTTCAGCCCCTCACTCACCCTCATCCTCACAGCCACACTTACCTTCAGCCCCTCACTCACTCTCGCTGAACCTCACGGCCCTCACACACTCATACCCCTCACGCACTCACGCCCCTCACGCAGTCACCACCCTCACGCACTCATGGTCCTCAAACCCCTCACGCCCCTCACGCACTCACCGCCCTCATACACTTCACGCACTTACCGCCCTCACGCACTCATGGCTTTCACACCCCTCACGCACTCCTGGCCCTCACGCCCCTCACGCACTCACCGCCCTCACGCCCCTCACGCCCCTATGGCCCTCACGCCCCTCACGCAGTCACCGCCTTCACGACCTTCACGCACTCATCACCCTCAGGCCACTCAGGCCCGCTTTAGATGGGGCAATTTCGCCCAGAAACTTCACGTCGCAACACCAACAACACGGCCGGGCAGCCCGCGTTCACACGCACAGATCGAGACACACAATTACGCGCTATAAAAGTGTTTTATGCATTTAAATATTGTTGAGAGTACTAATGCATCTTTCTGAAACAGTTTTTTTCCAAAAACAATCAGTTTGGAACCAAAGCCAATTCATTCGTTGTCATCATTACCGACACGAGGTATCACGTGAAAATATTGTATTCCTGATTGGCTGCAACCGCTTCAAACGTCTTCGAATTGCTCCGAGTTGCTCGCTTGTTTCGAGCCGGACCCAATCTCAGCAATTCGTGTCGATCTAGGGAAAGCTAGCGAAAAACCCGCCAGCAACCCCAAAATTGCTGAGAAGGTTGTCCCGTCTTAAGCGGGCCTCACGCGCTTACCGCCCTCACGTCCCTCACGCATTCACCACCTTCACGCCCTCACGCACTCACGGTCCTCACAGCCCTCACGGTCCTCACAGCCCTCCCAGCCCTTACGGCCTCACTTACCCTCACACCTATAAATTTTCCTTGTTCAGAAACTCACTCACCCTCACCTTACTTTTGAAGATGAGAGTGAGTGAGGGTGAGTGAGGGCCCTCATGAGTGAGGTTTGCTGAGGTATGCTTACTACTTGTTTTCTCTCTCGGTATTTCAGGCGCGCGGAGCAGAGGCCGATCACCTTCGCCTTCACGACCAAGATGGTCATTTTGAAATGACCCGTGACGTCATGGACTTCGCGCATTATTTCAATTAAATCTTTCGCAATCAATATTGCTCTAAAAAACTTTTTTTTCGTAAACTTTTTTTTTAGAACATGTGTCCCACTAGACTGTTTAAATAAAACTTTTTTTTCAGGGGTCCTTT